CTTTGGTTTGATTCATTGACATTGCTTAAATACAAAGCAGTTATATTTTAACAGTTTAATCTCAAAAACGTAATTTTTCAGGTTAGTCATAATCTTGAGTTATCTGTTTGAATGTTTTCAACACAATATGGTAAATTATATGTTTCTCAGAAAATAATATTAAGCAACCACATTTATCACTACAAGCTCAATGAAATAGTGAAATAATGATGTAGAAAGTTAGTATGATTGATAATGACTCATCACTAACTGAAGAAATCCTTAGCACAGTAATTCAAGTATCTTACTTATTAAAAGCTAGATTCTGGAACAATTACTGAAAATGATTAAAAGTTTTCTCTTTATACATAGAACAAAAACGTACATAAATATAAATATGTTTATAAAATACCAAAAATAACATACACCTACTAAAGACCACAAGCACTACCTAAATAAGGTTAGATTTTAGTATCATTTAAATCGGTAATTCTTATGCCAAAAAGGCCTTTTAGCACTGCTTAAGTGAGGATTTTCAAATACTTATGTTCTGACAATAATAATAGAATTTATACATATTTGACATTTTTAAACAGTACTAAAAAAATCCATATTTCTTAGGTCAAGCTGAGGCTTATATATATATATTACAAATGTTTGAGCTGTTAACTGTACCAAGCTTTAAATTCAAATACTTGAGATATTAACAATTTTAAGTCTGCATCTAACAAATATATAACTTATATCAATTAAAGTAAAAGATTTCAAGAGCAATGGAATACATTTTTATTAATAATTACTACGAAAGTTTGTTTCTCAAACATATAGCTGATGCTACATCAAGAAAAAATTAGCTCTGAACAACTGCCATAACAGATTGCAGTGTATCCTTATTTTACTATTTTTAATTTAAAAAATGTTCATTCATAATAAACTTACTTGAAAATTTACTATTTTTCTTTCTTTTTGATGATGATGGTGATGATGAATCACATACTCCTGAATCTGACTGAGGAGAACTGACAAATTTAGATAGTTTCAAAGACTGATCATTTTGAGAAGCTGAACATGATAAAGATGAAGATGTTTTATTATCTTGTGTTGAAGATAATGCAGATGTCACCACTGTCTGTGAATATGTTACTCCTATACAATTATGATTTATAGCATCAGAAAACACAGGGGATGATGGGGTCCTGTTCAAAGACTGTGTGGTTAGTGCTACTGTTGTTGGTGATTCATGAAGGTCAGCAGACTCTCTGGAAGTCTTCTGAGTTTGGGTAGAGTCTTGCACTTCGATATTTTCTTCAGAGTTTTCTATATCTAGACTTTTCTCTTTTGAAGTGATAGACAGTTCCTGAGATTCCTTTCCATTATGTAGCAGATTTTTACGCCTTCTTTTTGGTGGAGCATACCTGTCAATTTTCATGCCTCGCTTGCGAGTATCACTAGTTGTATAGAGATGTGAAAGACCATCAAATAAACCTTTTAGCTGCCCAGTACTTGAAGCAGTCATAGAGGAAGTCTCAAGAGAAGATGTTGTATGTGAATACGTAGATGTACTACTAGATGAAGATGAATAATTTGATTTCAAGAACAAAGTTGAATTACTAACAATAGGAGTTTGAAGAGTGCAAGGTAGTTCTGTAACACTGAGAGTACACTCTCTTTCGGTAATAATCACTTGTTTGGATTCCACACTTGCCTCATCAGTATGCTGGACTTTTTCAGAGGATTCTAGATGACCATTTATTTCTTGTCTTGAATCAGGTACAACTGCAGTAAATGGTGTTGCCATGGAGCTTATAGCAACTCGAGATTTACGTTTATTAGTTGGAGTGAAAAACTTTGTTAGCCCATCAATCAGCCCTTTGGGCTTACTTGAGAGTGAAAATGATTCAAACAGACCAGGAATCATAGCTTGTGACTGCTCTTCTAGCAACTCAATCTTACTATCTAAAGCTTCTTCACCAGTACAATTATGAAACTGTGAAATTGATGATGGTACAACTACCATATGTTCTTGAAATTGGCTTGTCTTTAATGTCATTCTTTTCTTTGTCCTTCTTACTTGTCTTTGTCCTGACAGCTGGCTCACTGACTGATTCCTATGTAAATAAGCCAACACTCTGTCTTATTACATTTTAAGCATTTCTTTGTTTTTTCTTTTAAAAACAACATATAACAAACTCATACAATGTTACAAGAACAGAAAGTTTAAAAAAAAACATCATTCAGATGACAATATTGTAGCTAGAAGTTTAGCTCAGGAGAAAAAATACTCTTAAATCAAAAATATCTTTAGCCTTCAGTCTTAATAAGGCACTGACTACCCGTTGAATTATTTCAGTGGCCATAGATATTAATATACATACATATATATAGCTTAAATAGCTTACAAACTATTGAATACATTTATTGTTAATAGGCAATTGAATCAGCACTATAAAACAATGATGAATTACATATCGAATTACCATTATCCTCCACACACATTCACACAAATTCATACCACTAAAAACCATCTTAGACTATGCCTTCTGATAATACAAATGCATTTTCCTTTCCTAAATCAAATGATCAAAAAAAATGTGCATTTCATAATTTTTCTTTTTTTAAAAATCAAGTTCCCCATTCTTTTGCAATTACTTTCAGGTTTTTTTTTCTAATGCAACTTTTAGAATTTAAAATTTTTCTTGAAAAAAAAAAGCAAAGTTGAAGCAATTTTTTTTTCTAACTTCCTGGGAAAAAGTTTGCTGATTATTATGAGATAAGTCATGAAAATCAATCAAAGTAGAAACAACTTGTATTCACAGCTTTATAAAATAAATTATGTCTGCCTGATCCTACAAGAAATATAAAACATTTTATCTTTAATATATTCATCTTTAATAAATATAAGCTGGAAAGAAAAACAGCAATTTCTTGCCTAGAAATGCACTTACTGCTTTAAACTGTCTAAAAAAAAGTTTATTATTTGTAAATTAAAAAATGATAAAATAAAAGGAACATAAAAATGTAGCCATTGAACTCTAAGTGCCCAAACTATTATCATGTCTGATCAGTAGATTTAGGAAATGTAAGATACCAAAAATATGTTATTTTGACCACTGTCCAGAGTGTTGTTGTAACAGTAGTCCCTTTGGACCATTACGATTTAAAAAAAAAAATTAAGTAGAAAGAAGCTAAAACCAAACTTCAATCGTCATCACATGCAAACAAATGTGTAACTACTTATCGTTCAAATTCAGTACAAATAAACGACCTTAATGAAGCTTGGCAAGACATATGAAACCTTAAGATATAGCCTAGCATAGTTGGTTAAGCTAAAAACTGGACAGTATGAAGTGAGAAGTAACAACATGACATTATGCTTACTGCACTGAGAATAAAAGAGTCAACTAAAACAAATCAATTTTAAATCAAGTAAAAACAAGTATTATGATATCCACTTCTTACTACAGTATATTGCTTTTAAGTACTGTGTATATATTTTTTTACCTTTTGACATTAATAGGCTTTTCACTTGAAGATCTTTGTAAATCACAGTCTGAAGAGAGGCAAGTCCTAAAAACAATGACATTTATTTAAATTTTTTTAGTCATACAAACATGATTATTGCTCAGTCACAGTAAGACCTATAAAAAGACAAGTGTGTGTATTTCAATACAAAACAAAACAGTTACAAGCACTTATTCTTGAATTGGTAGTTTAACTAAATATTTATTTTTACCTTTGAGAGTTTCATCACAGTTAAAGCAAAGTTGATATTTTTTAATTCAATGTTAATAATTCATTAAAAATTACAGCCATCTAAATCTGTCAAAATATAACCTAACATATTTCCACAATATATAGACTCTTGATATCTTTTTCTTAGTTATTTTCACATTATTTCATTTACTTTAGTTTCAGAAGCTTCAGTCTAAAATAATTAATGTGCTAAGCTTTTGTAGTGAGTTTAATTATGTAAAAACAACATACTCAGATGAATGAAAACTGAAAAAAGAACTATGAAACTTACATAAAAAAGCCAAACAAAAACAATCTCTAAATATAATAATAAAATTACAAGCACATGGTTAATTTCACCAATTATAAGATAAACTGTGGTTTTATACTGAAGCAACTTTTTAAACAATTACCCATATAAATTACTTCTTAAGTAAATATACTTTTTCAAGCATTCTGCTAAATCAATTTCAATTTAAACATAAATACTATCATTTAATATTCTTTTGGTGTAAAATATTCAAAATACATTAAAATTAATCAGAACTAAAAATGGTTCTATGAATGTTATGTTAATACAGAAACACTCCTAAAGGTTCATACTTTGTATTTTTGGCATTAAAATCATTAGTTTTGTGTTAATCATATACAACAGTAGGAAAAAAATTATCCCACTTTTAGTTGCAATAATAATTCTGTTTATTCTTTATATTTTTAGAGTATAATAATTTGTTGATGGTGGTTAGATACTTTAAATGCTTTCATTATTTAGAAAAAGTTTTAAGTTGATAAGAACCATACTTTTGTTTAATTTCAAAAACTGATTGACATTACACAGATTATCTATTTCTCATCACAGAAAATTGCAATAAATAAACACTTCTCATTTCTTTAACAATACAGGAATTCAGCTGTTGTGAATTTGTGATATTGCAAAAACTTATTTCAAAATTTCATCTGTTAAGAGTAAAACATGTATTTAGAAACTATAAAATAACTGAAATAAAAATGATAAAGTTGAAAAACTTTAAACTTTATAAATGGATGTAAAACAGTATGGTTGGTACAAAGAATTTTATATGAATACTTCAAAAAACCTATAAATTCAAAGTTGTTTAACATATCAGTTTCAAATATAAAGTATTTTAATGCAAAACTTTCCAGTACCTATTTCTTTGAATAATTTATTAAAATTTTTTGTAACATATTTACAATTATCTTCCATTTGAATGGTATTAATAATTTTGTTTCTTACCAGATAATGTTATGAGACCAATTTTAAACAAAAAATATAAACATAGTAAAAATCCCGACAAATCATAAATCATTGTTCATTCCTATAAACCAAACGTTTTTACTTACGTAAACATTTTATAATTAAGAACCAGAAAGTGTAATTGTACCTACCCATGCACTGACTTTTGTGCTTTAATCTTACTACTGCTTTGTTTTTTGTACCGCTGCTTCACATTAGCTGCCACTTCATTGATTAACAATCGTCCCCTTCTCTTCTTAGAGTGAAGCTCTTCTACACAAAGCTCACAGCTCCAAGATCCTGACCAAAAAAAGAAAACTTTATATGAAAACATAGCTTTATAAGACATATACTTAACAGATACACTGGTAGCTCAAACCACAGGATATCAATACCTAGCTATTACACTAACTATCCATTCTCTAGCTCACCCCTTGTTTGTTGTCACATGACTTACTTTCCATCAAGAAAATGCTAATTTTCTTTTTATAAGAAATACATTCTCTAAAATTAAGCTCATTAAAACTTTCTTCAAACATTTATCGAATATAAAATTTTAATTCATACTGCTCTCAGAAAATATGTCTAATTATTTCTAGTACATTAGATCTTACATGAAGGTTTAAAAAAGTAATGTAGATAAGAGTAAAAAAAAATATTTCATAAAACATTACAAAACACAGAAATACCTTTTGGCATTTTTACTAAGGGAGGTTTCAAACATCCCATGTGAAAGCCTTGGTCACAAGAATCACAAAACAACAAGTCTTCCTAATTAAAATAAAAAGTTATGTATCATTACCAACAAAAATAATCTGCAAATAATCAGACAGAGAAATATGTTAATTAGTCTCTCACAGTTTTGATCTTTATTGAATTTTACTTGCTATTCAACCAATGGAACAATTAAACAAGCTTAAATTAGTTTTTTCACAATCAGTTTGGTCCTTAAAGATTATATTTACAATTTACAATGAATTTGTTCCTGCAATAGTAGGGATATGATGAATGTTACCTAAAGACACAATCATAAATTAAAATGTAATTATTTTGTATTACTGTACCAGGTGAATCCAGGGTTTAGTACCAGGATCAACACATCAAATGACTGCCAAAGGTTTCAGTTATCTAACAGTCTGATGACAAAGTGTCTTTATAGGTATACAAAACTAAAAAAAATCAATGTTTTAGATAAGAGGTCTAAGTGAATATGTAAAATATTGCTCTTCACAAAGATCTGTCCTGTGAGTTGAAGAGTGAAAAACTGTATACTCTAAAACAATTAAATCTTAGCACTGTTATTACAAAACTATGCAAAAGAAACTATTTTCTATTTCAAAAAGACATATTCATCTCTCAGATTTTGTTTGTAACTGGTAAATACAGTTCTCAAACCTTCTTAAGATGTAATACACAGTAATATTTATCATATACAGGACAAAAGTTTTGTTTGATAATTTGCTAAAAATATTATTACCATTACAAAAACAAAAAAATTACAGAATTCAATAATAATGAACCAAATACACACAAAATAAAATACTGGACATTAACATCTAAATCTTAGTTTCCTAGATGTATGAACAAATTCAATAAGATTAGTATTCCTAAGGAAACATATTTTTCACTTACTGCTTGGTTTCTGCTACCACAAACTTTACATGTTTTACATTCAATACACTGCCATCTGGTGTTCTGTACACGTGCTGTTAGTTCTGGAGAATATTTCAGACAATTAGGATGTCCTGAAACAAAGTAAAAAAAAAACAAACTGAAACTGAGCAGAAAAAACAACTTGAAATAATATGCAACATAAATTCATACTTATGGACAACAATCACAAAATAAAATTCACACATACTACTAATTAGTTTCATTAAGAGCTCCTCCTTAGAAATTAATTCTACAATTCTGTAATGGAGCATCCATTATTTCTGTGCATCATAAAAAAAAGGGGTTTCAGGATATAAAAAATAAACACAATATTAATCTCCATATTATGAATATCCAATACAGGATTTCTGTGACATTTGACTTCAACTTGTAGCATAAGAAAGAATATTTCAAGGCTCCTGATTATATTATACAAATTTTTATTTCAAATTGATGTGCATAAAACAGCTTAAACATATAAAATATTCCTGAACCTACTTGCAGGTATGTGCTATGATCCATTGAAAATAAACCTGGAAAGTACTTTTTATTAGTGGTTTAATTTAGAGTGAAATTTATATTTTTCCATATTTTCTTCATGCAAACTTTTACACTGTCAAATTCTTTTTCCAGCACAGTAATTTTTCAGACTGTGATACTTTGTTTCAGTACAAGTATTACCATAATTGATATAAATATTACTTGTTTTCTATGTTCATGAAATAATTTTCAATATAGTTTATTTATAGATCATATGCAAAATTAACATACCTCTTAATTATTCATGGCTTCATTTCATGGTGTGTGATATGTTTAGGTGTTAATGTCGATAGGTGTTCATGGTGTGATAGAGTTTATTATTTTTTGAAGTTTTAAAGGGCAAATGAATATTTATTTTAGTTGTATATTGTAAGACATTTTTGTGTATAGTATTATCAGTACCAAAAACATTCACATTGGCAGGATAAATGGTATGAAATATATCTTTATAAATTAATTGAATATGCTTCAGTATGTAATGTAATTCTTAATTACTTTCATTTTTACAGGGGTTACTTTTCAGAACTAAAGGGTGTGTCATCTTTCTGTGCTGAAAAATTGAGGAATCACGTTTCTGGAAGGGCAAATATTGAGATTCTCCCGACCCGCCCTGAGAACAATTTACCACTCCCTAACAGGTACAATCTTTCTAATCTTGACCTTCATAAGTAACATAAACTGCTTATAATTACAGGTGACAACCTATAAACAGATAAATCTTTCAGTTTTATCTGTTTTCATAACACTGTTTCATCCTCTTACAAATTTTAATTTTTAAATAAAGAGTTACAGTTCAACTAAAAATTAATTTTATAATTAAGATCACTTAGAGTCAAACATTGTAATAAAGATTGAAATCACTATCTTGTAAAAGCAGCTTTGAATTATACAAATTTATTTAAAAACAAATATTTGTTTACATCTTTATTATTTAAGATGCGGTTTTACACTGAATAATTAGAGTGTACTTATATAGTGTATTCATTTATTAATCAATATACATATGGGGGCAGGAAGGGAAATATTCGGCGAACTTTAACAAATTGAACCCCCTCACCCCTCCAAACATCCACGGGTAATAATGGGCTGAAACCTTCTCAAATGGAGATCACAAACCATGACGTGAGCGCTAACTGCTGTTGCCCTTGGCGCGTCCCCTGCTAGCGAGCGAAGCCAAGTAGACAAGACACGAGTTTATATAACCGTACCACCTAGCGCGGGTCCCCACCCTTACAACACCTCGGGCGATGGACTTCACGATCTTTCTTCAACTTTCAAAACACTCACTCACCCTACTGTACTTACGATCAGGGAAAACTTAACAATGCAACCACTTCCTGTAATTATCACAAACACACTAGGCAAACGAGGTAATGTTCTCTTAGCTACAAGGCATATTTGTTTTTTCGACGACGAATGTCAAAGCACGTTTTCATACCTTTGACAGGTACTTACAAAAATAACGCTACTGTTTTCTAGCAGTAAATTATTATTTTATATTAATATAAATGATGTATAATGTACAAATAAGTTTCATTATTTTCTACCAAACATTCAAAATAAGCTATTTCATACTGGTTGGATGATGGAAGTAATAAAGCCATTGTCATTTCCCTTCCTGAAAGAACAGAACGTTTAAAACTTCGATTACGAAAAAACAAACAATTCTGAGACTAACTAATTCGTTTTCATAATTGTATCTATTAGTTACATGGAAATTCTCGGAATTCAAGGGAGTCTCGAAAGTTAATTGTATCAGGTAACGCGTTAACGAAAATTCTAGTTGTTCACTCACTAAGGCTCTGCTAAAGAAACCGACCACCCAAGTATTCTGTAAATGCAACGACACAGTCGCCCCTTGTTCTACGGAGTCATTATTAACCCTCAAGATGATACGTGTAACAATGTCGATTTTAAATAACTGTTTAAGTTTTCTGACTTAATTAATTATTAATCTTTTAACTAAGTCTTCTGTAACATATTTATTCAAATACATAACGAACATGCATTCCACAAATACTATTTGATAATTATATTAAATCAACATCGCTGGGAGACTTAAAAAGACATATATTCGCAATAAAAAATAAACTATTCGTGTACTACATTTGTTTTAATAGTACCCAAACTTTATATATATATAGTAAACTATTACATCATTAACACTATAAATGTCGTTCTTTGATATATTTCATTTCTATTTTCCACTAAAATACAAAATTTTTGAACAGTAAAAGAAATAAATGTAAAAAATTAGTTTGCATATGTTGAACATACAGCCCCTGAAGTTGATAAACTGTGTAAACTGCAACAATCAGAAATTTAACTACGTTTTTATATAGGTCATAACACTGTATAACAGCCTTTTAATTAAAGAAACGGTAAGTTACACACTCAAGAATATAGTAGTAGCATATTATACTGATTTTGAGATATTTAAGAATATGAAATTAAGAAGATCTTGACGATTTTAAAAGTTTAAACACAAACATCAAAACAGTAGATCAATTTAAATAAATATGACTTAGCTGAAAACAAAAACGAAGAAAAAGAATTAGTGATTAAACATTTACAGGTTGTTTTGTAACCTATCAGTGGAATGTTTATTTTATTTTTCTTCTTCCTTTTTCAATCAACGAACACAATATTCGTATTTAGAATAAATATCAATCGGAGCATGACTAAGAGTTCACTACACAAGGAAAGTTTGTCCTCGTTGAACGATCCGTGAATGAACAATACATTATCAGATGGACTGATTAAAGAAACATTTATCTACACAAAATTTATACAAATAATAGCATCCATTTTGGTACTGTCAGCTTACCGCTATTACCACAATCGGCACACGAAATTAGTTCTTCAGAAACCCCTTCCCTGTTGCTTTCCGCCGTCCCCCGACAAAAGCTGCATATGGGTATTGGAACTGCCTTCTAAACAATGAGAGAGATAGAACATACAATGAAAAATATTTACTCTAAAATCTTCTCTATAAATGCATAAAATTTCAAGTTTAATATTCATAACAAAAACAATGTACAAACTGACACTTAAAATTTCGATAAAATAAGAAAACGTTACCTGTACAGTTTAGAATTAATATCATTCTATAACCTAAATTAGTTATTTATAGTTATATAAGTATATACATTCATGATACCAAGAAACCATGTATGGTAAGGAACATACATCACAATACCCGAAGAAATTTGAAAACCAGAGTTCTTTCCGAACAGCGATTGGATTTTTGTTTTTCTTCTGTTACATTTTATTACACTTATGAAAGTAAACAATATGGACTCTACTCCTTATATAAAAGTTGAAAACCTATGTCTCAAATCTATTACATCAGAAATGTTAATAGTGATGGCGACTTGGATATTTTCCAACAAAACATCATGATGATTGGTGGTTTTAGCAATGTACAAATGTTTCTCGGCTTTTATAAGTGTATCAAGTGTAAGAAGAACGTAAGATAGAAAATTTAAATAAACACTTATAAAGACAAATAATTATCTGGAACCAATTATTTTTCTTTTCCAAAGTTATTTTAGAAAATAGGATTGTGTGCGATTTTGTCGAAAATGTCCTAAGATCTTCCAAGTTTATGCCAACGACATAATTTATCGTCTAATTCTTGCCCAAGATGAAAACTTTTATCGTACTTTATGTCTAAGTTAGAACTTAATTGTAACACACGTTAAACTATTCAATTTTACAAGTTGTACATTAAAAATGCAGATGACTCATAAAAGTTTAAAATCACAAGATTACTAACCCTGTAGTTCGTTAACCCTTAAATTACAGACTTTTTATACAGTTCACTAGATGGAAAAAATTGATTAATTTTTGTTTTTGACTGTTACAGATATTAAAAAACTGAGCAAGAACACTATGTTAAGTACATATATAACCCCAGTAGTAATAGTCGGATTAATTATAATATTAGTGGTATTTTTGTTTGACTCGTATTTACATGGTCTATACACAGACCTCTGGAATTCTTTCAATGGTTTTTCCAGGACTTTTTTATGATTTTTCAAGTAGTAGTTGTGATGGTTATTTCATATGATTACCATATATAACTACATACGATAAATAAAATCACATTCTAACCCTCTTTTAATTCCAGAATTAACACATGTTTCTTACCACTGATATGGCGATAAAAAGTATTCTGGATGACAACCGGTGTCGCCATGTTAATTTATCCTAGCAATGTTTGTTTTCGTAAAAAACAAACAAGGCAAAGAAAATAAGAACTTCTGAATTGTTTGATGCCCATTTAATGGATTTCAAGGATACATTTTGCTAAAAGTCCAGAACAAAAGTTAATTTGATAAAATCCAAGGTGTTTTCCAGGCCTGTGCAAACCATAAAGTTTAATTATTTGGGACCCTGTGACCAACGAAGTCAAAGATCCACAAGCAATTTGTGCATAAACAGTTTTTAACAATACTGTACAATCTTTTGATAAAAATAGTAAACATTTATTTATATGATTTAATATTTAAATTTAATTAAAACTATTTATACTTGTTTGCTTTTACTTTTTTCTGACTTCCCTTTTTTTTCTTAAACATTATTTCCTTTAAAAATATTTAAACATAATAAAGTTGGTACTTTTTAGATGAAACTGGCAATACCCAGAGAAGGTGTTCTAGAAACAACTATTTTCTTCAGAAAAAATCGAGAAATGAAAAAATTTTCAAATTATTCTGGGCTAGATTCTCTATCAGATGACGCAAGTATTGTAGTTACTTGACAGGGGAATGTGCTCAACCATCTCTGTATCTATTTTTATACACACGGTTACGACTTGAAAAAATTAATTGTACCGCTATCTGGAGCTATAGAGTTGACTGACATAACACACTCATAAATGAAAGCTCACTAGGAACAAAGGGAACTTAATAATGGCTGAAATGAGGTTTGTTGACCAGACTTTTTTAATCTGATTTTTACATACATATTACTAAATTTAGTCAAAGTTAAATGCACATATTCCTTTATTCTTCAAAGACTCAAAGCTAGATATTGAACTCTTGATCTTGATCTCCAGGGTTTAAATTGATTTCTAAAAATCTCATATAGTAATAAACAATAAAACGGAATCATTTACATATTTATTTTCAATCTTGCATTCAGTTTAAAAGTTCAAGACAATAACAAAGTAACCTCACAGAACTTGTATTTTTTCTTCTTCACACAATCGGTAACTTGATCATACCATTGCTACTTGAAACGTGTGCTATACACTGGCTTATCAGGAAATGATGTATAGCAATGCTGACAGTGAGGTCAATGTATTTGCGTAATGGACGAGCAAAGTGCACAATTATTGTTATTATTATCAATAACACGTGTCCCAATGCCTTAAAATATTCTCGTCACACAACGTATATGTGATGAAGAATATTTCCGCATAAATTTTATTTAGTGTTTGAATTAACACCGTATTTAAATAAACACAAGTTATAAGGCAAGATGAGCTATCACTTAAGTCCCAAACATTTAAATACTACTCCATTATAGGGTTTTTTACTGACAAACATAAAACATTTATTCTGCACGCTATAAGTTAAATAAAAATTTTCGAAGCTTCATTTGCAAGTAAAAACAAACAACAAAACAGTCTCCTACGATTACCGAACGTTAAAGAAGTTCACGTCAAACGTGTAACCCCCCTAAGAAAAAACAACAACAAGAAACAAATAAAAACATTAAATAAGATTATTTCCATTATCAGAAACTTATAATAATTCAAACTTTAAAAAAATAGATTCAGCGCGTTCACAAACTAAGGGCGTACACAGCAATCTTGAAAGGCTCGACCCCACCGATTGTGGAAAGCTAAAACGAGACGATTTCCTTAAAATGAGGAATTCCTGCCCAAGGGCGTGTAAAATCGTATACACTTAACTGTGTAATTTTTATAAATATTTCTTCTACGGAACTCATTAAACTGAAACTAGAAAAGCTTTATCTGATGAAAGATTAATTGTAAGAATAATTATATCTAACGTCTTTCAAATAATTAACTGTCGTACTGTGAGAAGCGGCAAGATATATTAAAGAGGCTGGGACTCTTAAAACTCAAACTAGTTATGTATATATACACACACACAACTACATTTATTACAATAACAAGTATTTGTTTTTCTTTCAAAGTGTGTTTATGTTGCCATTAATATTGCAGTCTTGATAAATATTTCAATAACAGAGAGTTATAATTACGAGAGTTACGATTTTGTTGAATGCTATTACAGGTTCCTTTTCTCTGCAGGCCTACTGATACTTAAGTAGTGAATTTTTCTAACGATGTTTGTCAACAACAGGATTTTAATTAACCTTTATTTTCATCAGCCGTTAACCAAGGTGACTGATGTAATGCGGTCTGTCATGTAATCCGAAAAATCTGTTTTGAGTTAAAAGTACATAGAAAAAATGCTAAAATTGTGAATTGACTTGAATGAGCGAGAATAAAATATAAAAAACAAAGTATTCTCATCAACATGGTTAAACGATAACAATATATTTATACTTTATAGTTTATTTTTTTTATTCCATATGCAAATAGTGATAGTTGAATATTTGTTAAATTATGTATGTCACATTAATTACAATCCTTTATCGTTCCTTTTACTTTATTATGCTACACACACGTATATGTCTTGCACATGTCTAGAATACTGTAGCCTCATGTGCAATGTTTTAAATCTGCGAACCATGGATATTTGTGCCACGTGGATAACATTATTATAAGGTAAAAAAAAAGGCAGAACTGACAGACACGAGGACGAATCCTGTGCAGTATTTCTAAATATATATTAGAATATTAAACATTTCAATAATTAAATTACTGATGCATACACACAAAATAGTTCAAAACACTACACACTGTTTTTGAAAGCTCGTAACGTATATAAATTAATATGGAGAATTTCACACGGACTTTTCTCTACGTTAAAATAGTTCTATTTGCCAACTTTCGGCCTTCTCACCGAAAACCTTTATCGGGCAACAATGTACAATTTACACACTGCTTACACTGTACAAAAACGCTCTCTATATATATTTAACATTCTAATTATCCTCATATATTTCCAGTTATTTTTTTTTTCACTGTCTCTTATTATTACAACAATTACTTAGTTCAAAAACAATTCTACTTTTCAGAAACAAGCTCCCTCAACATCGTGCTTAATCTTAAAAGTCAAAGGAATGTTTTCAACAGAAGCCCAACTTTTGCATTCCTAAGGATCGAGACTTACACCACTCGCATGCAGGCGCTTTACCACATGAACTAAAGGACTAAATATGAACTATTGCTAGTACAGTATTTTAATATTCCGACTACCTGGTTACCTCAGCACGACATTAACTGCATCTTTGTTTCTCTGCACAATTGACATATTGAACTATTGACTGTAAACATCAATGTGTTACACTGCTACTGTATTACTGGAATTCTATAGACTCGATAAACAGCTGCGTCGACCACCATAAGAGGTTTTCTCACACTTGTAAGATATTTTTTATTACTAGCAGATACCCGTTGAAACAATTCATCGGTAATTTTTCTAAAAACAAATATAACGTGCAGTCAACCCAATCCCTTGGATCAGAGCATATGATTGTCTAGTGAGCTGTTTACAAATGTCTTTTGTTATTTCAATAAGGAAAATTGCATTGCGTTTGTTTTTAAGCAAAGGAGACTGAATACAATGCGCTATTCGCCAAAATCTTTGGTTTTCGATGCAATGGATGCATCCAGTACATTACAGCACTCAGGTCCACTAAGTAGCTACGGTGATTTTTTTCGCTGGATGCCACCGTTCCTTCTCATTTTACTGGGCACAAGAAAAGATCGCTGTCTAAGTAAGTGCCTTTTGACAGTTGTAATTTCTAATAGAACTGACATAGGGAAGAT